CTGCTTTCTTGCAGGTATTTGCTGTTCTATCACAAACAGTTCCTGGAGTATGAATAGCCTTATCCAGCAGCTTGGCAGATACAAACAAGGAAGAAAATAAGCAAGCCTTCTGAATCGACACACAAACCTACCTGAAATGAAAAGACCTATTACAAACCAACTAGCACTGAGCTGTAACAGGACCTACTTGACACTGACTGAAAGCCTGGCGGAGTAAGGAATGAACAATGTCCAACGTGTGAGGACAGAAAGGGGGAAAAAAGAGGCTACAGTCAGTCACTTAACAGAGGAAATATAAAATGAAAGGAATGCTCTGGGTGGGGGAAATGGGAGCAGAGGAGTCCGGGCACTGGTACATCTCCTGTGTTCCTCCAACATGTGTGTGTGGGAAGGCAAAGGGTTCTACCCTCATCTCCATAAAGCATCTTCTCCATTTGGTGCTTCAGCTCCAACGACCAATCATATAACAGATAAAAGTTAAATCCAAGCCCATTTTTTTATGCATATGGGTCTGAAAGCAGTAGAGTGGAGGAGGAGGGGATGACACAACTAAAGGACTTTGCAAGTATCTTTTTATTTGTGAATTTTAGTTATTAAATAAATACAGTATGAAACTATTAGGCTCTTTCTTTTCCAACAACCATAAAAGAAACCCTGGATTGTGGAACTGAAGCTACAGCACTCAAAACAGGTTTTCAAGCATGCCTGCTTGCACAGGTAATGGTTAATGCCATCGGACTGCTCATCAAAAGCATCAGCACAGATTCTTTTCTGTTTGAGCCCTTTTTTTTTGGTTTTGTTTTCTATAAATAGCTATTTTCTTAATTTTTTTTCCTTTTATTCCCTTTTTTTTTTTTTTTTCCACGAGAATGAAATTCATAAATGCAACCATCAGTAAAAATGAATGAATTGGCGTGTTTATACTGTAAGAGTGGTCTTGGTTCTTTTTCCCCCGAATCTTGTGAAGAAGTTTGAATTTCTCAAAACTGCTTGTTCTGTTGTTGCTGGGTTTGGTTTGGGGTGGTTGGGTGTTTTTTTTCCTGTTCCCTTGCTGTCTTCCAAAGGTTTCTATGTGCCACAGGAGACAACTTGAGCATTGAAAACTGTACCATCTGTTGGAACCGGCTGCTGCTGGGGGCAGCAGTGAGCGGTGGAGCTGCTTCTATGGAGCACTTCTGCAGTGCACTCGAGTTTTAAGTAAACAACACATTTTCCTGCTCTGTGCCTAGGCTGGTTTTGGTTCCTTGTATCCTGCCACATGTATTAACTCCTCACGCACTCCTCCCTGCAGAATCACAGCCTCCATATCTGTAAGTTGCAGCACTCAGTGCACCAGCTCACTCTGGCTTTGTCACAGACATGGGTTTGCTCCCGTTCTGCTCCATCACCACGTTGGCTTGGTGAGACTGCAGCAGTATCCACCCCTGTGCTGTGTCTTGCTCTCAGGAAGCTGGGCTTGAATTGCAGCTGAAAAGAGTAAAAATAGCTTTGTTCTACCTTCTGGAACCTGTTGAGAGCTGTGTGTAAGAGGCACTGTATTGACGGGTGTAAGAGCCACACCAAAAAGGTCATTGAGCTCCAGGCAAGCCTTAAACTTTACCACTGTGGGTAAAACAATGGATGTGCCTTAAGGTTTTTGATTCTGTGCTCTAGCAGTGAGTGAGAGGTGGCCAACCTGCCCATGACAGAGGTGGAAAACAGCTTAATAAACAGAAGAAATAGGAGGAAAAATAAGGGAAAGGAGTTTGGTTTTTAAATGAGCATCTTACAAGAGCTGTGTCTGATCTGTACACACACTGGAAGAAGACTGGGAGCGATCTCTGCGACAGCTTGCACCAGGGAAGGAAGAAGAGAGAGCGAATCGAAGCACCTTGAATACCAAATGAGACATGGAAAACGTTCCGTATGGTGCGGGAGGTACCTAAAGCTGCATGATTCCTGCAGGAGCAATCCCCTCCTCTCATTTGTAACCCATCTTTCCCTGTCGTCACGCTTGAAATCGTGTTCAGTTGTAATTGGGTGCTGCAGGATTTAACCTGAGCCTTCCCGTGGAAGAGTGAAATAGGGCTGGAGAAATGCAGATGGAGGAACGTGCTCCCATGGGGAAGGGGGGGCCCTCCACTGTAGCGTGCAGATGCTCAACGCTTTCTGCTCCCTTTGAATAATGCAGCAAGCTTGCAGAGGAAGACAAGAATCAGCCTTTTATCATTCAAGGGCTGCTCCCACCTTGTCCTGTGCCGGAGGAGGAGTGCCACCGTGCGGCAGATGGGTTTCGCCGTGCCGGGGATGCTTGTTTGCTTTGTGATGCCCTGGTCTTAACCTGCTCTGTGTGATGCTGGAGCCTGAGTTAATGAATCCTGCTTCCCACTAACACATGCGTGGCCACCGGAGCTAATGCAGCCTGCGTTGTTAATCCTTTAGGAACAAATTGTTTGGGGGTGAGGCCAGTCATATAAATCAATCCTCTGTTCTCCCCCCCCCCCAAGGGCTGTGATCTGTGTCACTGCGCCAGCACAGATGGGTTTTGGTGGGAGATTTCAGTGCTGTGTTTTCGCTTTCAAAAGCAGAATTCCTGGTGTATTAAAAGCTCTTTTTCCTCTTTTTCCCCGCACCATCATCCCACCCTCCCTCCCTGGATCGCACCGGGCAAGTTTCTATTTCTAGCAGCAGTAAATCAGTGCAGGTTGCTAAAGGAGGAGAAGAGAATATTCCCTCCTCTTCCTATAGAAATGAAAGAAGAGCTGCTGTCACAGGAGCAGCACTACCCCTCGTGATGCTGCTTCTCAGACAGTCTCCTCTTACCCTTCATCTCTTCCATGCAGCTCATACACTGGTTTATGCCCTGCAGAACCAGTTCTTGCTGTGCAGCAATACACTAGTGAAGGGCTGATGGAGTTCTGCCTCCCCAGTGCAGAGGGCACAGGGGAAGGCTGCTCCTCAGTGAGGAGTGCAGGCTCACGTTGTTGTATGTTCAGTTAGCAGCAATGAATGGGCAAATGGGGCACAGAAACAGCCAGAAAGTTGCTTTAGTTACAGTATTTTGTCCCTCAGCCACTTGACTAGAGATGAAGCTTTATGTGATGCTGGTGCCTAATGAAAGCCTGAGCAAAAGCTGAGATGGAGAATGGGGTTTAACCCCTGGGGGATGATGCTCTTGCTCAAAATCAGTGCCCTTAATTCCATGTATTTTAACTCATCCCAGCTTGTGTCCTGTACTTGCAGTGCCTCTCTAATATTGGAAATGGTGGCTCCAGGTATGCTCCATAAGGGCTGTTTGCCAGTGGCTGCAAATGTGATACCAAATCTATGGATGCCTCTTGCTTTTCTAGCATCTAATGGTTGTAGCTGGGACCTTGTTTGTTCAGTTGCTCCGTGTTACCTTTTATATGGCAATCACAGTATAGTCAGCATTCCCTGAAGGAGGGGTGGGCATGGCTGTGAGGGGAAGGAATGCTCCCTTCTTGTGTATTGGGGTTGGTGGGAAGGACTGCCCCATCCCTGGCAGTGTTCAAGGCCAAGCTGGATGGGGCTTGGAGCAAGCTGCTCTAGTGGAAGGTGTCCCTGCCCATGGCAGGGGGTTGGAACTGGGTGGGCTTTAAGGCCCCTTCCAACCCAAACCAGGCTGGGATTCTGTGACTTGGTTTGTGATGACAGCCCCATCCCACCACGGTGCAGAAGGTGAGTGGCGCTGCTGGTTGCCAGTGCCATGCAGAGTGAGGGTGTAGCTGGCCGCATAATGGCTTTCCTAAAAGCTTTCTCGTTTGAATAATGGATGTCTCTAGGTCCTCAGGAGATGCTCTAATGGCAGAGCTGGTGGCACACGTTCCCTTACTCCTGTGCTATTTTTAACTGAGGTTCTGACTCTCCTTGCACAAGGAGTTCCCATGGGTGATGAGTGCCTGTACCTGGAGGTGACACTGACCATCCACAGGGCACCAGAGCTGAGATGAAGCTACGTGGCCCTGCAGGAGCAATGTGCTGGGAAGGGGCAGCGTGACAAGGCACTGCATCTGCTTAGGAGGGCTTTCCTTCTGGGCCCCCATCCTCGCTGGGCAGGAGCAGAGGCTGAGCAAGAAGCAAGTGGAGACTAAAGCATGTAGGAGATGGAAGGCAGGGGAAGAAAGAGCAAAGCTGAGTGGAACAGAGACCGAGAGACTGGGGGAAGCTGCAGTAGAGATGAGGCTACACAAAGAAGCAGGATGAAGAAAAGCTGAGGCTGAGCAGGAGTGGGAGGATGAGGAGGAATTGAGGCTGGGCATGCATGTAGGCCAGGGTGGTTTCTGGGGCTGGAAGGCTTCCAGAGGTATAGAGGAATTGGGATGCTGATGATGCTATGGTGTTGGAGATATGAGAGCTGAGGCTGCAGGGCAGGAGGCTACAGGACCAGAGACCATAGAAAGAGATGCCTTGAGACCAGGGCCACATTGGGTATGTGAAAGGAGATGCCAAGAGGGAATGGGAGGCCATAAAGGGTCTTAGGTTTAGAGGGTGCAAGGTGGGGCAGGTATGGAAGGTGAGAGTCCCATTGACTGAGGGTAGGAGGGGGAAGCTGTTGCTATAGCCTGCCAGCAGCTTGCTTATGACCAGGGTCTGCATTATGTTCCCTGCACACATGGGTTAGCCCTTGTCCTCCCCATCACACTGTGGGTGATGGCTTTCAGGGCTCACCCATCACATTCAGGAGACCCACCTGAGTAAAACAAGGCTGCAGGTTTGACAGGGCTTCTTATTGTGCCCTGGATGCAAACACAGCACGATGCAAAACTCATCCTTTGTGCTACATGGGATGAGGACTGTGCTAAGCAGAGGGAAGAGGTGAAAAGCAATGCACAGACACCAAGACAGGGACACTGGCTTTGTGCTAGTGCCTGCCTTTGTCATGGTGCTTTCTTTAGTGATAAGAAAACACTGATGTTTAAACAAATGCATAATATGGAGGGGACAGGTCTCTATGCCTTCAATCTGCTCATTTTCCAGCCCTGATTTGTGCTTATTATATTGGCTCATGTTTATTCTTCCAAGTTGGAAGCTCTGGTTTTAGGCAGTGGAAGGGATGAGCTCCTACCAGGGGTGATTTCTCACCAAGCAAACCATTCCTATGCTCTTTAGTGAAAATGAGAACTTCAAGTTACATATGGAAACGCAGGGTCTTCCACAGCAGCTTCCAAAGCCAGGTCAGATAGAGCCTGCCCTCAAAGCAGCTGGATCTGTAGCTGCTTCATCTCCTTTCCCAGCTGGTTTGAGTAACCCAAAGCAGACAGGCATAAATGCAGTCTCAGAAAGTTCTCAGCCTTGGATGAGTTTTGCTGTTAAACCCAATCCCATCAGGGATTTGGTGCCTGTCCCATGGAGCATCGCCTCCTGTCGCAAGGCAAAGCCTCACCGTCACCCATGTCCTGTCCTCCCTTCCCAAGCAGCGTTGAAAGGGGGCAGTGGAGATTCCAATGTTGTGTCTTAGCAAATACAATGTCCTGGAACAAAACCCATATTAAAGACAGAAAACTACACCTGAGAACATGGCAATGGCATTCCATGGGCGTTGTAACTTCCATGAGTGACTTGTTGGGTGTGAATCCATCTTTGAGGTGCTTACAGCTCTGCTTGCAATCGCTTGTGTTGCCCAGTCGAGTTCTCAAGCAGGGAAAGGGGTCATTTCCATGGGGACACCACAGTCTGACCCTGACCCTTTGCTGAGACGAAGTGATGCTGCTGGTGGAACCAGGATGAAAAACCCCAGTGAGCCATCACTTCCAATGGATGGGCTGCGTGGAGGAGCCTGCAGAGGTCAAGTCAGAGGATGAAGGCACTGCTAAATGGGAAAAGACTTCTTTCACTGGGAATATATAAGGAGAATTCCTGAGTGGAAGAAGACAGCACTGTAACCTACAGCCCTTGGGCAAAGGGTTCTGGAAGAAGCTGTTAGAGTCACTGGAAACAGAGGGTGAAGCAGCCGTGTCCTGGGGGCAGAGGGAGCATCCCTCCTTCCTGACCCTGATGCTATGGGCATCACACCATGGGCGTCTTCTCTTGGGAAGGAGAACAGATGATTTTGAAGTGGCCATCATCAGGGCTGGGCATGGCCCCAGCGCTCCCCGTGCTGCAGATCCCGCTGTGACAGGGAGCAGCTCTTTCCCCAGTGGGACAGGAGGTGCTGGGGCATGATTTGGTCTCTTGTACAGCAGAGCCTTGCCCAGGGAAGCAGAAGCCGCAGGTTTCCACCGGCTCTGGGACCCTGCTCCCGGTGGATCCATCCCCAACGCTGCCTGCTTCCACCAGATGGTCTGCAAATGAAGTGTGGGTTAGATTAAAGGGGTTTAGGAGCAACTTTTCCCTATGGAATGCTCTGCAGAGCTGCTCCTGGGGCTGGGGAGGACATCCACCTCCTGCCACCCTGCTAAAGCCCGTGATGCCTGTAATGCATCACCTCCATACCCACACCTAGTCCTGCCACCTGGAAAATGCCTGGAAATCGGGAAGTGCCTTGAGCAAGGAAGCTGCAGGCTCAGCATTAAGCACTTGTAGCATTTATAACATCAGATGTAAGTCGTGTGTTCATTCAAAGCTGCTTTTGTAGCACGTGCCAATGCGACGGTGAGGGATGCTGGAGCTGCAGCAATGGGACAGGCTGGCTCCAGGGACCCACCCCGCTCTGCTCCATCCTCCGGGATCCAATAAGCAGGAGCATGGAAAAGCACCCAGTCAATCTCTTTGAACCCAGAGTGAATGCTCAGTGCCAGCCTGTCCTTTGACCAGAGCAGACAGGAATGGCTTGAACTGCAGTTCTGCTGGAGGGGGGCTCGGAGCAACGCAACAGCTCCAGGGCTTCTTCTCTGTGCTTTGTGACATCCAACAGGACTGGCCTTGGGCTGTGCGTGCAGACATGGGTGAGTACACAAACCCTTTTTGTAAAGGTAGGGAAGAAGAGAAGGAGGGGGAATAAAAACCTCTCTTGTGATGGTGTGGCTGCTCCATCCCTGCGTTGCTCAAGGCCAGGTTGGACAGGGCTTGGAGCAAGCTGCTCCAGTGGAAGAGGGCTTGGAAAGAGATGAGTTTTAAGGCCCCTTCCAACCCAAACCGTTTTGTGATTCCATGTTCTTGGTTTACTCCACGTTATCCTTTCCTTTTCTCTTTCATGCAAAGACTCGTGCCTGGAGCCTGCCCCCATCCCTCTCCCATTGCCCGCAGTGCATCCAGCGCTCACCTTTGGAGGAGTCCTCCCTGCGGTGGCAGGTCCCGGCGCTGTCTTGGCAGGAGACCCCCTCTCCCTTCCTCCGCAGGTGGGTCCAGCCCAGGAGCAGGGAGCAGAGCAGGGCGCAGAGGCAGAGCCCCAGCAGCAGGTACACCACCAGCCACGGCTCCTGCTCCGGGGACATCTTCTGCTCCAGTGCGGGTGCTGAGGCCGGCATTGGGGTGACCCCCAGGGCACCCGCTGTGGGTCAGGCAGAGATGGGTGAGCTGAGATACCCACCCCTGCAGGTCCATGCTTTGCGCTATGGACTTTCCAATAGGGGAAGTGCTAATAGAGGCACCCCGCAGCCATGCACTGCCTCCATGCATTCCTTTCTTATGGCGAGGTAAAGGAGATCCCTTCCCACACCCCATTCCCACCCTCCCTCCTCCAGTGACCATGTCTCAACACCACTGTGGGACTTAGGAATGCAGGGACTCTAACCCATCCCGTTCCCAAGGGCTGGAGACAGCTCAGCGAGTGGCAAACACCATTGCTGGTCCTGCCCCTGGCTTGAAGAGCCCAAGGAGGGGTCTATAAAAGGGAAAACGCTCTGTATGATGAGGACATGGGAGAGGGATGCAGTGGAACGGCAGCACACAAACACATCACCCTAGAGTGAAGAGATGGGGATTTGCTGCCTCTTCAGTCCCATAACCCGGCTCCTCTTCCAGCCCAGCTCCGTGGGTCCTGCCCCACATCCCCTGCCCTCTGCACATCCCTACCTTCGCAGGACGGGCTGCACTGCTTGGGATGCTGCCCGCAAACCGTGCTGCAGTTGATGCAGTTTTTCAGCAGCTTGTCATAGTAGAAGCCGGGTTTCCTGTTGCAGTCCATGGACTCTGCACAGGGGAGGGAAGCAAACATGGGATGCTGAGCACATCCCCCCTGCTGTGTGAGCACCAGGCTCCCAAACCACCCCCAGCGCTTGGGTTTATGTGAGGATGAGCCTGGGGCAGCTCTGAGCAAGCTCTGATGGGCGCTGCTGGTGTCGACAGCAGCTCCATGGCTCACAGGGGGCAGATCTGTGGTGCTTTGGGGCTGTATAACGGATGCTGGGGTGATGCAGCTGCATGGGAAGGGGATGGGATGCAGCCAGACATGGAGCTGTGCTCCCCTGCAGCACCACAGCTCCTGCTTGCTCCTCTTAGACCTGGATCAGCATCTCCTATGCTCAATGAGGAGAGGTGACTTGTCACCACGCATAGGGCTGGTCCCCTGTGTCCTAGGACAGGGTGCAGCGGTCCCACACTGTGGCTGGGTTGGGAAGGGGCCATGCACAGGGCTGTGCTCCGGGTTTGGGTGCCAAGTGCATCTGTCTTGTCTCTTCCTCCCTCCCTGTTATCATTACACCTCGGTGCCTGCCCCAGTGCAGCTCTGCAGACCTACAGCTTGGCTTCATCCCTGTCCCCATCAACTCAGCCTGCTGTGTCCTGAGGTCATAGAATGGTTTGGGTTGGGTCATCCAGCTCGTGATCATTTGGGTTCATGATCATCTAAAGTCCTGCCTTTGGAGGGTGCAATGTCCCTGATGGGGTTACCAGTGTTGATGCAGGCTCCCAGAAAGGAGCAGTGCAGCCATAAGGCCAACCTGAAGTCTGTGCCATTGCCTCCCCATGGCTGGGAACCTGTCAAACCCCAGCAACTCCATTCAGCTGAGCCCAGAGCCTGCCCCATGGCTCCCCCCCCGGGGCCGCATCCTCAGTCCCATCCCTGCCCTGGCTTGCAGTGGGGCCGCACTCACCGCACAGAGCCGCGCACCTCCTCACGGCAGGGCGCCCGCACACGAGGCTGCAGGGGATGCACTGGCAGACCAGTGTGTCCCAGTACTGCTGCTCCGTGCAGTTGGGCACGGCATCCCCTCCGGCACGCGGCCCAGCCATGCCTGTGGGACAAGAGGCATGTAGGTAGGTGCTGGGTTGATCCCCATGGTGCTGGGCTCATCCCATCACAGCCCAAAGTGTGCTTCAGGCTTAGCAAACCTCAGGGGGCACGCAGGGAGAGTATAGGCTGTGCCCTGAGGCCCTAGGGATGGGCGCATCTGCCTGTGGGATGCATAGGGTGGGATCTGCTCCCCTGACAACCACAGCAACGCATCAGGGTGATCACTGGGGATGTCTGCTGGGACAAGGTTTGGTTCTGGAAACTTCTGGATGCCTCTGTGGTGTCCGGGTGGTTTGTGTCATCCCGTGTGTCATCTCTGCCACCTCTCGCTGGTGTTCCGGCCTCATAATGAAACCCCTTTCTGATGTGTAAAACTCCCCAGTGCAGAAGGAGGGACGTGTCTGTCTGACAGCTGGAAGCACTGGTTCAACCACCACCACCTGCGATGCAGGAGGTGGACAAACCCTTGTCCCTATGAGGAACCATTGTCCCCGTGCCTACATGGGCTGGGTGCGATGCCAAAGGCACAGGAGAGGAGCAAACCCCAACCAACAGCTTCCACTTTGAAGAACCATTCTCCTATGAAGCATTTACTCATTGGCAGCTGCAGTATCTTTGCATGTCCCCATCTTTGGGTGCTGCTTCTGTCTGTGTGAGCCCTCATCTCTACCACTGCAGACAGAGCACCATCGCTGGTCCATGTTGATGCCAACAGCTCAGGGCTCCTGCTGCCGTGCCGTGCCATGCATGAGGCCTGTGGCAAGCCCAACCAAGCAGCCCCAGGAAGCCCTAGCCCGGTGGCAATGTGCTGTTTGCCAACCGAGAGGGCTCGTGGGTCACCGCATCCCTCCCCGGAGCCGGGAGCCGCAGCTGTTTCCTGCTGGGGTGATGATGCTGGTGCTCATGGGGACCAGAAGGTTTCAGGCTCCCCCAGCACCATAGCAAGGTCCTGGTACTGTTACCTTTGATGGTTACATGGAGAAGCCTCCATGTTCCGATGGGGATCAATCCTTCTGTTTCTTGGGACATGCAGCATGTCCCCCTGTCCTGCACAGGGGCTGAGGATGGGCTTCCTCCATTGCCTTGCTGTGAGCTGGCTCCTATCCAGGGCAGCACATCGCATCCTCAGGGATGAATCCGGGATGCTGGCCTTCCAGTCCCAGTTGTTCAATTAACACTGCTCTAACAGCTAATGATTGCTTTCTATTGAGCACACTGAAGACGTTCCCCAGGGCAGAGCGACCGCTGCTCTCCTCGGATGCTCTTTGAAGATGCTTTGTACCCGAGGAGAACGAGAAGCCCCCATGGATGACAGCAAGCGCTGGGTGAGCCCATCCTCACTCCCCAGTGGGGTTTCACATGGGATAAGGGAGATCTAGGGCCGTGTCTAAGCTGTGGGGCTGCAGCTGGGCAGCTCCTTCCCTGCTGCTGCTCCAAGGTTATATCCAAGGGGGTTTATGGCCCCATCTAGGGAATCCCTGCCCAGTGGCTGTCCCACGGAGCCTCAAGGTACCTGTGGTGCCCCTGCTATGGAGTAGCCAGGCTTTGTAGCCATGCACGTTCCAGCAGAGCCGGGTGCATCCCCCCTCTGCTTCTGCACCCACTTGGGGCAAGCACCCCAAACTCCCCTATGGACCAAAGCATCCAAAGCATTAAGCACCCATTCCACCTCCAGCCCCATGGCACTCGCTGCCATCACCTGGGGACCCCCCCCTGCTCCCTGCCAGCACTGTGGGCATGCCCCCATGTCCCCTCTCCCCCCTGCAGCCCCTCCATGGGGTAACTCACGTCTGTCGGTGTCTAATCCCCCTCGGCTCCTGCCATGGCAATGGGAGCTGCAGCCCTGAGCCCTTGCCTCGCTCGAGAGGTTTATTATTAGGGGTTGATTTGGTTAATGCCTGGGCCATGCGTTTCCGGGGGGGTTCCCCTTATCCCTTCCATGCAAATGGACTGCACGCACACTGCCTCGCATTGGGTGTCCAGGTACCCCGTGGTGTGGGGTCACTGGGGGTCCTGGGCCATGCAGGGGGGCTTGCAAGGGAGAGGGATCTGCCCTTGTGTTGCGTGGCTGCAATGGGATGTTCTATAGGGGAGGGAGCCCCCGGGGTGAGGAGAGCTGGGGGGACCCTGTGGTTATAGCTGTGTCAGAGCAAAGGGGCTCCATCAGGGACTGTAGTGATAGGACAAGGGGTGATGGGTTCAAGCTGAGACAGGGGAAGTTTAGACTGGATATAAGGAGGAAGTTCTTTACTGTGAGGGTGCTGAGGCACTGGAATGGGTTGCCCAGGGAGGTTGTGAATGCTCCATCCCTGGCAGTGTTCAAGGCCAGGTTGGACAGAGCCTTGGGTGCCATGGTTTAGTGTGAGGTGTCCCTGCCCATGGCAGGGGGTTGGAACTGGATGATCTTAAGGTCCTTTCCAACCCAAACCATTCTATGACTCTATGACACGCAGCCACAGGGCATTCTGTGCTCTCTCATGGCACAGAACCCCATGAGTAGCATCCCATTGATGGCTCGGTGCTGGTCATCCTCTCCTACTTACAGCTCACCCTGCCTCCAGTTGGGACCAAGCATCATCCTGTGCACCCATCCTTTCCCTGGCCATAGAGGGTGGCCAGCCCATGCCATTGGCCTGGCTCATGGCACGTAAAGCATCTCACAGGCCTCAATAAGATGCTTTAAACCCTGCTTTTCTCTAGTGCATCCATGTCCCAGGGTCGCAGGAGGCTGTGCTGCTCCATCCTCGCTGCGGGCAGTGGAGGTGCACCAAGCATTGGCTTTCACAGTGTGTTTATGGATCCCACCTCCACCCTGCAGGAGGAATGGGTGCCATCAGCAAAGGAGCAGCCGGGCACATTCACTGCTGGAGGGTTTCCCCTTTCCTGCTGTGCTGTGGCTTTGGGAAGGAGCGGTTGGTGCTGGGAGCAGGGCAGGGACTCAGCTCAGAAGCAGCTGAAGGAGGAAGGAAGGAGCTGCTTCCTATCAACATCAGTGGGGCAGCATCAAGGTTCCTCATTCAGTTCAGGAGCTCCTACTTTGTGCCCATCGTGGGGACCAAGAGGATGCAACGTGTCCATGGCAGGGATATCGGAGCCTGAACCGGCTCCCAGGGAGCAAAGCTCAAAGTGGAGACACCCAGCACTTCATAGGTGCTCTGCTCCATGGTCACTGGATGTGGCCCATTGTGTCCCAGCTCCTGTGGGAAGGAAGGAACCAGCACCAGCATCATCCCATGGACATGGATTGGGAGAGCAGGCACAGCATGGCCACAGGGATGCTGCAGCACCGATGCTGCGCTGTGTTGTGATTCTGCATGCATCTGATGCAAAGCATCATCAGGGCTTGAGGCTCCCACTGGGAAAACCTATGGAGGGAGCAGGAAGGCAGAGACATGGCTGGGAGTGGGGTTTGGGGAGGAAAAGACCCCTTTGACCACCCATAACCAGTCCATGAATGGCTTCATCCCACTCCTGCTGTGCTATGGGCAGGATGGGGACCATGCCCTTGTGCTGCTGGAGCCTGACCCTGGAGTGAGAGCCCCAGGCTGCAGCTCTCGGGGTTTTGCAGGGGAAACCTGCCTCTGTAAATAGCATGGGGCCACTCGCAGTTTCCACCCCGGTGTGCAGCGAGGGGGAAGTGAGAAGCACTTGGGGGTGGTTTGTGCCCCATCGCTGAGCACGGCACGCAGGGTGACTGCAGCTTGGTGATGCTTGGGCTGTGCTGGGCACCCCAGTGGTGATGTATGGCTCTCAAGCACCCCCAGACACACTGGTAGCTGCCATCCTGCCCTGCCTGGGGTTATCCCTGTGCTGTGGGGCACAGGCAGGGGTTGAGCAGCCCCATCCAGGTTAAACCCTTCCTTTGCTGTGTGCTGCTGGTGGGACAGCCTCCATCAGCAGTGATTCCCAGCACTGTGCATCCCCGGTATGGTTTCACATCCTTCAGCTCCTATCTGCCACAGTCAGTTTGGGCTGATGGAGACCAGTTTTGTCCTGACAATAGAATCTTTCCCTTTCCCTCTTTCCCCAGTAGCATTGCTGCAAGGAGAGCTGCAGATAACACACAGACAGGTATGGATGGCGTTTGGCTCCAAACAGCCTTTTTGGGATGCTTTGCCTTCCCCTGGGGTATTTTCCTCCCAACCTCTCCTTTTGCGGTCCCTGTGCTCAGTCCCTGTGCTTTGGCCAAGGCACACGTGCTCCTTCGGGACCTGAAAGCAGGGCCCAGGGAGAGGGGAAGAGGAAGAGGAGTCATTGTGGGTCGAAACCAGCAACCGAGCACAGATGGCTCCGGGGTGGCTGCTGAGGACTCGTTTCTGTCACCCTATTCCCTGTGGACGGGTGCTCTCGGGGTGCTGGGGTCAGGATGTGCCCATCCCTATGCGCTGCCTGCTGCCCTCCATGTCCTGCCACCATCACAGTGGCTGCAGAACCATAGCCATCCGCTTCCTAAGCAGTGTGCTTATGTCTGCATCTCAAGCATCCCCGGCTGCCCACAGCGCATCCATGAGCTAAGGGCAGTGGTGACTTGGGGTGAGAGCCTCGGGGTGCAGCTCCGGCTCCCCACTGCCCTGAGGTCCCACCCTGCTCCTGGGTGCTGGGTGCGCTCTGGTTGTGTGGGTCTCTGTCCAGGAGATGGCACCCTTGGCTCGCCCAGCCCGGCTCCCGCTGCCTGCATCCGGACACCTCTGTGCTCAAGGTGAGTGATGCCCACACTGCCTCCAGCCAGGCCCCAGCACCTCCGTTTGCTGCTGTAAAGCGGGGTTCAGATGCCCCCATGCACCCCACATGGCTCCGTTCCTCCCGCTTTGCACCACGGCCTCATCCTGCCATCACTCCATAGGGATGCAGTTGGGCATCATCCCAAGGATGCTCAGCGCCCACCGGGCTCCAGGCATCCCTGTACCATGGGGTCTGTCCTCTCTAAAAGGGGCTGTGCTTGGCTAAACTGGACTAAAGTGGGTTGGACTGGTCTGAAGAACTCTAAACTGTGCTGAGCTGGGTTAAACTGGGCTGGGCTTTGCTTGGGTGAGCTACAGTGGGCTGAACTGTGGTAAACTGGGTTAAAGTGGTCTAAACGGGGCTGAAGTAGGCTAAACTGGTCTGAATTGGCTAAACTTAGCTGGGCTAAAATGGGCTGGGTTGGTCTAAACTGGGCTGGACTGGTCTGAATCCCACTAAAGTGGGCTGACCTGGGCTAAACTTGGCTGGGATGAGCTGAATTGGGCCAAACTGGGCTAAATTTGGCTTAAGAGGGCTAATGTGTGCTGGAGTGGTCTGACTTGGGCTAAGCTTGGCTGGGCTAAGGTGGGCTGGGCTAAACCAGGCTGAACTGGTCTAAACTGGGCTGAACTGGACTAAATCGGGCTGAATTGGAGTAAACATGGCTGGGCTAAACTGAGCTAAACCAGGCTGAACTGGTCTAAACTGCTCTGAACTGGGCAAAATTGGGCTGGACTGGTCTGAAATGGTCTAAAGTGGGCTGAACTGGGCTGAAGCAGGCTAAACTGGTCAGGGCAGGGCTAAAGTGGGCTGTAATGGTCTGAACTGGGCTCAACAGGGCTGAACTGATTTAAACTGGGCAGGGCTGGTCTTGCCTGCGCTAAACTAGGCTGGACTGGTGTAAACTGGGCTATACTGGGCTAAACTGGTCCAAAATATGCTGAGCTGGGTTACACTGGTCTGAATTGGGCTAAAGGGGACTTAACTGGGCTAAACCAGGCTTAAGTGGGATAAATTGGGCTGGATAGAGCTAAACTGGGCTGGGCTAAACTGGTCTGAACTGGACTATAGGGCTGGACTGGTCTGAAATTGGGGTAAAGTGGGCTGAAAGGGCTAAACTGGTCTGAACAGAGCTAATCTGGGCTGAATTGGGCTAAACTAGGCTGAACGAGGATAAACTGATCTGGGCAGGGCTAAAATAGTCTAAACCGGGCTTGAATGGTCTGAACTGGGCTAAACAGGGCTGAACTGGTTTAAACTGGGCTGGACTTGTCAAAACTGGTCTATATTGGGCAAAGTGGTCCAAACTGTGCTGTGCTGGGCTACACTGGTCTGAACTGGGCTAAAGCAGACTTAACTGACCTGGACTGGGCTAGACCGGGTTAAACTGGGCTGAACTGGGCTAAGCCAGGCTGAACTGGGATAAACTGGACTGGACTGGGCTAAACTGGGCTGAACTAGGTTGGTGTGAGTAAACTGGGCTAAGCTGGGCTAAACTGGTCTGAGCTGGGCTAAACTGGTCTGAACTGGGCTAAACTGGTCTGAACTGGGCTAAACCGGGCTTAACTGGGCTAAATTGGGCTGAATTGGGCCAAGTTGGGCTGGGCTTAGCTAGACTGGGCTGGGCTGAGCTAAACTGGTCTGAGCTGGGCTAATCTGGGCTGGACTGATCTAAACTGGGCTGCACTGGGCTAAAGGGCACTGCGCTTTACTGGGCTAAACCATATTATCTTTTTCTTGCTTTGCAGGCAGATCATTGTTAAACCCAGGCATTTCCGAGCTATCATTCCGAAGGTGGGAATGCCGCTGGGCTGAATGGGAGTTGTGAGCTGAAGGCAGGAGGATTTTGTTTGCAACTGGGATTTACTGGAGCAGAATTCCCTTGTCCAGCAATTCCAAAACAAGAGAACCCCCCCCCTCCCTTTCCATCATCCAAAGCCTGAATCCCATTCAATACAAAATCCTCTCCCAGCAATGCTGCTGCCATGGGTATGGGAGTCGCTAAAAGGAGCATCCGGTTGTGCTCGGTGCTGGTACCCAGTAGCCAGGGCATCGGCTCCTCTTGCTGTTGGAGACCGGGAGCCGAGCCGAGCCGAGTCGAACCGAGTCGAACCGAGTCGAGCCGAATGGACCCGAGTCGAGCCGAGCCGAGACGACCCCATGCACCCCGAGCGCGGTGCTGAAGGGACAGCTCCGCTCCGGCGGGGCAGGGAATAGGCAGGGATGGGCAGGACCAGCCGGGCACAGACATCCGTATTCCCTGATGCTCCCATCTCTTTCTCCTCCCCAGTGGTTCCC